GAGCTCAAAAGGTTCGCCATCACTGTTTTAGGAGCTAGCAGCCAATGTCTTTGTGCTCTGACAGACTACTTGTAGATGAGATGCCTGAGTCAATTGTAAATTGTAATGTTTTATAAGCCTGGCCTTCAGGATGGCAGAAATGTGTCCCACATCTAGTCTACTATGCTTTGGGAGCCACTGAGTTTAACAAATGCACTCAGCAAAGTGCCAGCACACCAAAAACACTCACTAGACAGTTGTTGAGTGAATGCATAATGAATATATTATTGTTAAGCTTTGAATTCTTATTCTAGTTCCTTAATCAGTCTGAACAACATTTCTCAAGGGCCACCTCTATTACTAAATGTGTGTGCGCGCGCGCAATTTTTTCTGGAGAAAGTACAAAAGACAGAGTTGCTATAGTTCTTGTAGTGAAATGACCACTTACAATCCATTGGGAGAGGGGAAGAGATACAGAAATGGAACTCATTCACCAGAGCCCTGTGTTTAGAAGTAGAAGAGACAGCGTTGACACAGTGAGGGGAAGAGAGCCCACGTGCATGTGAAGGAATCACGAACTGGCCTTTAGATAAAATAGATTTATGATCCTGAGTCTGTTCAATCATCCTGTTCTAAAGTCTAGAATTTAGAAATTCTCATAAAACAGTGCTTAAAATCATGATGGGAAGAAGGACATCTTTTGCTGGAAACAATAGAATATAAATATAAAAAATAATTTTGTATTTCAGAAGTAGTTAATTGCCAAAGGACAGAACAAAATTAAATAAGATAAGATTCTGAACCAAGTATAAAGTATAAAATATTTTCTTCACAAAATACATTAGGTTTAATTTAGTCTAGACACCAAATCTTTCAGATGCTATCTTTCTCTTAACCTATTAAGAGTCTAGAGACAGTGATGGTGAACCTATGACACGCGTGTCAGAGGTGACACGCGAACTCATTTTTTTTGGTTGATTTTTCTTTGTTAAATGGCATTTAAATATATAAAATAAATATCAAAAATATAAGTCTTTGTTTTACTATGGTTGCAAATATCAAAAAATTTCTATATGTGACACGGCACCAGAGTTAAGTTAGGGTTTTTCAAAATGCTGACACGCTGAGCTCAAAAGGTTCGCCATCACTGTTTTAGGAGCTAGCAGCCAATGTCTTTGTGCTCTGACAGACTACTTGTAGATGAGATGCCTGAGTCAATTGTAAATTGTAATGTTTTATAAGCCTGGCCTTCAGGATGGCAGAAATGTGTCCCACATCTAGTCTACTATGCTTTGGGAGCCACTGAGTTTAACAAATGCACTCAGCAAAGTGCCAGCACACCAAAAACACTCAATAGACAGTTGTTGAGTGAATGCATAATGAATATATTATTGTTAAGCTTTGAATTCTTATTCTAGTTCCTTAATCAGTCTGAACAACATTTCTCAAGGGCCACCTCTCTTACTAAATGTGTGTGTGTGGCCCTAACTGGTTTGGCTCAGTGGATAGTGTGTTAGCCTGCGGACTCAAGGGTCCCAGGTTTGATTCCAGTCAAGGGCATGTATCTTCGTTGTGGGCACATCCCCAGTTAGGGGTGTACAGGGGGCAGCTGATCAATGTTTCTAGCTCTCTATTTCTCTCCCTTCCTCTCTGTAAAAAAATCAATAAAATATATTTAAAAAAATAAATAAGGGGGACTTAACTAGGGTGATTATCTTGTGTCATCAACTAGTACAAAAGACAGAGTTGCTATAGTTCTTGTAGTGAAATGACCACTTACAATCCATTTCGGGAGAGGGGAAGAGATACAGAAATGGAACTCATTCACCAGAGCCCTGTTTAGAAGTAGAAGAGACAGCGTTGACACAGTGAGGGGAAGAGAGCCCACGTGCATGTGAAGGACATCACGAACTGGCCTTTAGTAGGAAGAGAGGGACACGAAATCTGAAAGGAAGAAACCACGTGGGCCTCTCTGCCAGAGCGGCGTGGCTCTGGGGCAAGCACAGCGCCCATGGACCAGGCTCTCCTGATGGAGCAGAGCTGCAGCTGGCTTCATTGGCTTAGGGTGTCCTTTCCATCTGGGATATTGGCAGATGTGTGTCCTCCGCATGCTCTCAAGGTCGCGCACGCACTCGGATCGCTGTTGGATTTCTAGCTCTGAGACAGTTGAGTACCTTTTCCTTCTTGAATCTTGTGCTGCAGGTGAAGGCGATGCCTGAGGCAGAGTTTGCCACTTTGGGGCTCGCCCACGTGACTTAGATCTGTGTGGTTTTGTCTGAATGGCCACATTTTCCTGCTGGGGTGTTTCTCTCTGTTGTTTCTCTGGGTTTTTTTCCTAGACTTGGAGTCATGATTATGGTAAACAGGAGAGGGTGTTCCGTTTTACCACTCAGTAAACACCTTTTTTGAGGGGGAAAGAACTATTTAGGGGAGACATTGGTGTTTTGCATAAAAAGCAGAGGAGAAACAGCACAGATCAAGACCGACTCCTGTTCATGAATGTCCTGTAACTGCTCCCACAGCACTTAGTTCCGATCTGTATGTAGAACGTATGGTTGTTTATTGCCCCCATTCCCTCCATCACACACTCACTCCATCGCAAGGCCACTGACTGTGCATCCCCAGCTTCTCACACATTGAAAGACCTGGGCTTGTTGGATGAATAAATAAACTGTAGTATCCTATCCACTTACTGATAATACTACCTGATTAATGTGTTTGAATTTTTTTCCCCGCTCAGAAAGAAGATCTTCAGATATACTTTAAATACCATAAGAATCTGCCCCGAGCTCAGGCAATCTGGCAAGAATGTCAAGACTGTGCCTACTTTGGGGTAATGTTGAGATTACACGGTCTCCCACAAATTGTTTTCTCTGAATAATGTTTATGTGCATCAAAAAAATTTTAATATGTTTTTATTGTTGATAGTATTACAGATATCTCCCATTTTCTCCCCCTTCCCCCCCCTCTCCCAGCCCCTATCCACCCCACCCCCAGGCCTTCACTACCCTATTGCCCATGTCCATGGGCTATGCATATAAGTATATAAGTTCTTTGGTTTCTTTCTTCTTGGTCCCCCAACCTCACATCGAGGTACGTCAATCTGTTCCATGCTTCCATGCTCCGGGTCTTATTTATTTTTTTTAATAATATATTTTATTGAGTTTTTACAGAGAGGAAGGGAGGGGATAGAGAGTTAGAAACATCAGCTGCCTCCTGCACACCCCCTACTGGGGATGTGCCTGCAACCACGGTACATGCCCCTGACTGGAATCGAACCCGGGACCCTTCAGTCCTCAGGCCAACGCTCTGTCCACTGAGCCAAACCGGTCAGGGCCGGGTCTTATTTTGTTGGTCAATTCATTTTTTTCATTATGCACCAAATTTTTAAAGCTACCAAAAGTATGAACTGGGCAGAGGAATTTGGCACTGGGATTTATGTTTATTAAAAGTCTCTTCTATGTTGAAGTCGTACATTGGAAGTTTGGATGCTGCCCTGGGTCTCTGTAAGCAGGTCTGCGAGGAGCCTGGTGCGGAAACCAGAGTCCTCTTCTAAGGTGGTTTTGAAAATGGAATTAACTCCAAAAGATTAGACTGTGGGACTCTCTTGAATGATATCATAAGCCATCATGTATCCTACAGACTCAAATGACCTCAATGGACCCCACCACACCCAGACTCAGAGACAGGCTGCCTCCTGTGTAGAAGGACCTGAAATGCCCCGCTGTCTTCTAGGGGCTTGCCTTCTAAAAGAAATAAGTGGCCCTGCTTCTCTAGTTGCCTATGAAAACACTAGCCAAGTCGTCCCCTTCCCCCTTCCTTTCACTTAACTTGCTGTTGCTGAAGGACTGAGCAACTCAGTAGCCTTAGGAAACTGGTCAACACCACTGCCCCCTCTCGTCCATGAAGAGCCCGGCTCGTTTCTGGTGTTTCAATGCCGCCACCTTTGTTCTCTGGTGTGTTGTTTGTTTTGTTTGATGTTGTTTCTGTTTGTTTCTGAAAGGTGTGCCAGCGCCAATTGGATCACAGTCTCCCTCTTTTCAAGTATCTCAGAGGCCCAAGCCAGAGACTGATAAAATACCAGATGCTGCTGAAGGTAAAGCCAATGAGACCATGCTTTTCTGTGTTGGGAAAACAGATGAATGCACTAAGGTGGTCACGTGGACAGTTGTGACTTTGTCTTCTGAGGGAAAATTTCTGCCCTTGGAGCTTTGTCTGTCCTCCAAGTCTCACGCGACCCTCCTCAATGAGGGGTAAGACCAAGGAATCAGAGTTAAAAGGGACCTGGGAGCCTTCCCACACATATTTTTTACTTAATCCCGCAAACAGATGTGTCAGACAGGCTCTGGAGTACGAAGAAACAGGCTCACGGAGGTTAAGCTCATGTTCGATATTCCGCTCTCGGGAAAAGTTAGCTCTTTGATCTTTGCCTCGACAGCCCCAGCCTTGGCTGCCCTGGCTTTGTTGCTACCAACTGGGATTACTGGACCTCTTAGGCCTAGGTCTTCTCATAGTGGATGAGGATGCCAGAACCACCTCCTCGCTGGGGAAAGCAGTGAGTGATGCCTGCAGAGAGCTGCCCAGCGCTGAGCCCCAGGAAGCTCGGTGACAGGTAGCGCTGTTTCATACCTGGAGATGCCACGCCAGTGTGGGAGTGAGGATGATGGCTCACTGCCTCCCAACATGAGTAGCATCTGTGAACGAGTAACGATACAGCATCCTCTTAGGGCCTCGCATGCCTCTGACTGTCCCACCTTACTCTGGTCATGAAGTCCTACCACTGGGCCCAGCGAGGAGGGGGCGGGACCTAAGAGAGGCTCGGGAAGAGGGGGGCTTCACCCCCTGGCCTGGCTGCATCCGGGACTGAGGGCTCCAGTTCTCCCTCTGAAGCGATGCTGACACAATAGCTAGGTTCCATTTGCAGAGGACGTTGGGGCACAGTGACCAGAAGCACAGAGTCGGGAGCCAGACATCCTGGGTGAGGATCCAGGCTCTGACAGCTGTGTGAACTCAGGCAGGTTCCTGCTCTCAGTCTCAGGCTCCGCCCCTGTAAAAAAAAAAAAAAAAAAAAAAGGTAGTAATGGTACTTGCCTGGTGTGCTTTTTGGAAACATTAAAAGAGGGAATACATGTTAAAAATACTTAGAAGATTTTGTTATCTTGATTGAGGAAACAAGAGATGGAATCATTATAAAATCTCCCTTGGGGGTCTGTGCAAAACCATGGGAGGCGACTCAGGGCCGGCCAGTTTTTCCCGTGGAGAAGCCTGCTGGTTGCCCGGGAACACACGTTTAAACCGCTGGCAGGCCTATGACGAAAGGAGGACCTTTGTGGTTGTCTCCGTCCTGAGGAACTGAGCTTATTCTGCAGTTTTTTTGAAAGCATGAATGTTGGGCAGACTGCCTCGAGGCTTTGAAAGGATTGTAGAATCCTGGTGTGGGAGAGCTGTTCCAAGTATAAAAGAAAGGGGAAGGAAGGACGGATTATACCATAAGGACAGACACATGAAAAAATGGGGAAAATATATATTAGCAAGAGATGTGACCAATGGTCAGCATGCTTAATAATGAGCTCATAGAAATGAATAACGAAAAAAGTAAAAAAGGCATATCTATGAAATGCTTACTATCTTATCTGAGATTTTTAGTACATAATGTCTGAGTCAAGGCAAGTTAATGAAACAATATTACTATATTATTATCAGCATACATTACTATCAGCAACAGGAACTCACTTTCCTTGAACTCATGATTTCTGTCAAACAGGCTGAGTGATGGAGGCAAACTACCAATTTTTTTTTAATCCTCAACCGAGGACATTTTTATTTTCATTGATTCCAGAGAGGAAGGGAGAGAGGGAGAGAGAGAAACACCAATCGGTTGCCTCCCATACACACCCCGACCGGGGATCCAACCCAAAACCTGTGTATGTGCCCTAACAGGGAATTAAACCCACAACCCTTCAGTGTGTGGGATGATGCTCTAATCATTGAGCAGCACTGGCCAGGACTGGAAACTACCAAATTTAATGTAGAGAATTTTTCTTCCCTGGATTTGGTTGAATTAAGATATGGTTTGCAAAATGGTGCAATATTTGTTTACTATAAGTTTTGCTTATTACAAAGATATTCTAGGATAGATACTCATGCTGATTTCTTGTATAAACGAACTCATAAGAGCAAAATTCATTTTTCTTCTTTTAAAATTTTAAATAGGCTACTATTTAAAGAAATAATTAATGGGGAGAGGTGGGCAAATGTTACAAACTTTCAGCTATAAGATGAATAGGATTTGAGGCTCTGATGTAAAACATAAAGTTTGATAGCACTGTATTGTATAACTGAAATTTGCTAACAGAGTAGACTTAACTGTTCTCTCTCACACATAAATGATAACTATGTGAGGTGAGATGGATGTGTTAATTAACTAGATGGGGGAATCCTTTCACAATGTATACATATATCAAATCATCATGATGTACACTTTACATATCTAACAATTTTATGTGTCAGGTATACCTCAATAAAAAAGAAATTAATAATAAAAATGTAAAAAGGAGACATATGTACTATTTGTACATATGTAAATACTTTAAACAATAAAATTAAATTAAAATAATAGTAATAATAAATGAAGGAAGGACATAGGCATTTTACAAAAGAAGAAGAAATGTTTAGTAGCAAACATTTTATGAAAGTTCTACCTCACTAATTATCTGAGAAATTCAAACTAAAAAGTGGTGAGGTAGGATTGACCTGTTAATTCAATTGGTTGAACATTTTGATTAAATGGCTGGTGAGCCAGGTTTTATAAGTGGCTGGCGGGAACATAGTCCTTTTCTAAGGAACTTGGAAATATGCATCAAAACTCTTAAGATTGACAATTCCACTTCTAGGAAGTTATCTTTAGGAAAAATTACAGAACCAAAATATTTAACAATAGAAAAGATGAATCAATTACGATTTATGTATAGGACACAATGCTGACACAATCAAAACCATGTTTTTAAAAGTATATAATGTCATGAGAAAATAAACATTCATGATATGCTGTTGAGTGAGAAAAAGCAGGCTACATAAGAATGTGGCTAATATGATTTTATTTGTGCAAAGAACACTGTTCCAGATAGATAATTCATTCTTTCCCTCTTACTCATGACAGACAGACAAATTTGCATACATTCTCAGTTACTTTAGCATTTGTCTGGAGATTGCACAGTACATTTAGTTGGCATTCTACTTTTTGATTTTCAATAAGGCTTTTGGGTTACTGCAGGGTCTGCTGGATTTTGAGTCTCCTGAGGATTTGGAGATAGACCCAGGCAGCCTAGAAGGAGGTTCGGCTAAGGTACTGGATGCTAAATATTGTTTTATATTAGTTAATGGTGTTTGCCCCAGGGTGGGAGGATTTATGGTGATTTTCTTTTCCTTGCTTAAGATCTCAATTGTTTAAATTTTGTAAAATTGTGTGTATTTCATAATTCATAGTCAGGAAGAAACAAAATAATTAAAGGCAATTTCAAAGTGGAGATTTGTAGCAGGATAAATGGTATTGTATTTTCTTCCTTTCACACAAAAATGTTTTAATAGGAATACAAACAGGAATGTGTAAAATGCATACATAAAAGACTGAAAGTAAATGTGGTAAAATCTCTACTGTGGTTTTCCTGCACGGTAGAATTATGAATGATTTATATTTCTTTCTTTGTTTATCTAATTTGTATGCTTTGTGTCCCATTCCTCTCCAAATGTGTGTGTGTGTGTGTGTGTGTGTGTCTGTGTGTGTGTGTGTGTTTGTTTGTTCTAAGAGAGACAGCCAAGGTTCCCTTGAAGGAAATGGTAGCCAACCTGATTAGGAAGAAATTTGTGGCTTAGCAGTGGCCTTTCTTATAAATTTCCTATTAAATACTCCAGTTTTAAGAAGAGAAACCCGAGGCATGTGTCTCAAAGTTATTTGCATGCCTTCTCTGCTCAGAATGTGTGTGTGGGACCCCTTGAAATTAGAAGCTCAAGACACAGGTAATGATTTTACAGTGGAGCTAGGGGAGCTGGCCTGAGGGAGAAGGGCTTAGTAATGTTTGTAAGGCTTTTTCTGAGCCCCACATTACCAAAGCAAGACTAGGAAGGAGAAAGTACAGGGGAAGTTGAGTCTGTAAAGTTGAGTTTTACATGTTGAGTAAAGAGGATGATGCCTAGTGTAAGAACTTTTAACCCTTTGCTGATGTTATTGTAAGGTCAGGTGAGAGTCTGCTGTCTTTCACCCGAACCAGAGCATATTTATTACGAAGGAGAAGGTAAGACTCCTTGGCAGGTCATTCAGTGGAGGCAGCATGATCTTCTCCATTCATCAGCCCTGTCACTCATGTCTCTGATCCAACAATGCTACTTCCTGCTGCTTCTGCAGAGGTTACGGAAATACACAACCCTTCGCTGACATCATGCAGTAGGCGGCAAAAAGAGGTGGGGCTCTATGGGGCAGCAAACAGCTATCAGTTCTTTGTTGTAGAAATTGATGTGTTTGAAAAAAATGGAAGAATTCAAAATCTTTTTGTTTGCACTTACTAGAGGACATAAATATGCTATGTAAGTAGTGGGGAATCAAATACTGAAAACCTAAGCAAAAGCCTTTCAAGCTGTAAGAACCATCCCTAGTGTGTCCTCAGTGTCACAGTGCTAACAATGGAAGCATTGGTTTCCTGAATTAGCAGTTCAGGCTTTTCCGCTTAATGCCGAGCCTTCATGTTTGGGAGGTGCAGACCTCCCTGGTAACTTTCAAGGCAGTCGTGTGTGAGAGGAGGAAGGGCAGAGCTATGGAAATGCAACCCTTACAGCGTTTACAGGTAAATCATTAGTCAGCCTGCACTGGCAGCCCATTCTTTCTCTCCGGGAGTTTAAAACTGTTCTCCTCTGGGAAGGTTTTAAGCATAACTTTACCCATAGGAATAAGACTTTCACATTCAATATAGGAATATGAATTGTACTTTTCCGTAGGCCGCAGGGGTAGGAGTATAAAGGAGAGGGCAGTCAATTTAAAGGGGCTGTGTTTTGGGTGTTTTATTTTTCATGCTTCAAAAAATCTCAGTATGTTTCTTATAGAGCAGGAGTATAAGGCCCATGATTTTATGAGCTTCATTCTTCACTAGTACAATCTACAGAAGTGTGGTTGATGGTAAACCAACAAATACCGTTAGCCACCATTCTCTGCGAGCCAGAGAGCAGATGGGTGTCCCCACCGTCTCAGACACTTCGTGCTGGCTGGGTCCGTGGCTCCTTATCTCGGTCCTGTTTTCCATCTTCACTTGCGAGATGGTTTACCTTTTGATTCCCTACACGGCATTTGGTTTCCACAGGATGGGCCAAAGAGGACCAAGGATCCCGCGTTCTTGGCGGAACTGCAGCAGGCTTTGGCCATGATAGAGGAGTTGATCCAGTCCTGTGAACTGGCTGTGGACCTGGCCGCGGTCACTGGATGCCCGGTATGTTATGTCCCATAACAGTGGTTGGGAGGTTTCCCTTGAGAAGCAGGCACAGTGTAAACAAGGTAGGAGATGCTGGGGCCAAGTAGGAGAAATGATGTATGGTAGAGGAATCTGACTCTGGGAAAGTAGCCTACATCCGTCAACACACCTGTGCTCGGAGATTCCCAGCAGCCCCTCAGGGTTTTCAGGAATCTTGTGTTCCTCATGGTCCAGAATGTTGAGCCTGACCTGTGCTCTGGAAAAACCAGGAACTCAGGGGCCAGAATATATATGGGCAGGGGAAATGGCTAAAAGGGTAATTCATTTTGACTCCTGGCACTATTAACATTTAAAAGGTTTTCCTTCTTGATCAAATTTTCTCCATGAAAATTACTTTGAAAACGGGTGCTAAGTGAAAGTCTCACCCCATTTTACATCCCAGATCCCAGAAGAGGCCCAACAAGCTTGTATGATACTTGCCTTAATCCAAGGGGTTGAAGGAAAATACCAAGAGAGGCAATGCTGGGAAGCTGAGCCATCTCAGCTCTGGCATTCGTGTTAATCCTGAGCAGGCGAGTCCTGGGCATTCCAGGCAAACCGTCCTCTATGCTGTGTGCTCGCCTGGGACTGGAACATAAGTAATATTCATCTGGAACATAACTAATATTCACAGTCACTGTGAAGTACTCTAGATTTTAACTCAGGAATATTAGTTTTCTATCATTGTCAGTGACAAATCACCATGAGTCTGGTGGCTTAGAACAGCACCAATTTCTTAGCTTATAGGTCCACGGGGCAGAACTACAACAGTCTCACCAGGGGCCAAAATCAAAGTGTCTGCCTTCCTTTTAGGAGACTCTAGGAGAGAATCTGTTCCTTGTCTTTTCCATCTTAAAAAACAACAACAAAAATCACCCACATTTCTTGGCTCATGGCCACTGCCTCACTTCAAAGCAGCAACATCGCTTTCGTTGAGTTCTCACATTGATTGCATCCCTCCGACCCTTCTTCTGCTTCTCTTTGACTTTTTAAAGACTCTGGGATTCCATCAGACCCACCCAGGTAGTCCATGATAATCTCTCCATCTCAGCGTGAGCTGACGAACAACTCTGATTCCATCTGAAACATTCGGCATGTATCCTGACCTACTCTCAGGTTCCAGGGATTAGGGCCTGGACCTCTTTGGGAGGCTATGCTTACTGCACAGGGACCAAGCATTCTGCATTTCAGATACGTTCCTTCTTTTTTTTTTTTTTTTTCCTGTTCATTTTTACCTGTTTTTATTGAGGTCTGGGTAGATGAAATGACCTTTCTTATCTTTCCTTGTCATAAATCAAACCATGCAAATTAAGTAGAGGCAAAAATTGTGATCCTTTTCATTCCTTCCTGGTATTTCTCTGGCCAGCATTTCAGAAACAGCCCCTGGGTTTGCTGCGACCCAGGCAGGGATGCTGTTTCTGTCCCTGGGACTCCCGCGCATTCTGTTTACTGCTGACGCTCGACTCAGGCGGCTACTCATGAACCACACGGGGTGAGAACAGACCCTTTCCTTGGTATTAATTTTTCATCCTACAGCTAAAGTCAAGGGAGCAATTTGTTTAATCATTTGGGGACATTTTTCTGTTTCTTTTCTTTTTATCTTTGAACATGTGTCAGCTGCCCCTATGAAATACCCATTTGCCTGAATCAAATGAATGTTACACAGGGCAGGAAACTCCCAGATGTTCCTCTGAATGTAAGTAATATGAGAGGAGGAAGTTACGAGAAAAAATTGAATGAAAAGTGCATAGATCGCAATCTACTTTAATTGTCCTCCAAACGGCTTGTGTGCAAATCAGATGAACCAGTTTATAGAATTTTGGAGATTTTACAGCAAGTGCAAAACATCTTTTTTGCCCCCATGTGTCCTCAGAATGGCACCTTTGACATATTAGTACACTCTGTGGTTTCTTTTTTTTGCTAAGGCTAACTTGCTTTACACTTTGTACATTAGCTAATTTATCGTGACAGTTTTGTATAATTCTATTGAATGATAGAGCAGGAGTTGGAATTTTCAACTTTCTGCTTCAGCAACAGATCCATGGAAAGAAGATTTAACTCGCCGAAGATCACACGGTCATCAGCTTGCACCGTGTCTTGGATCTCTTCACTCCCTCGCCAGGGTCCACCCGCTCCACATATTCTTCATCTGGTTCTGTTTAGAGTTTACTAACAACTCACCTACTGCTAACTCAGATCCAATGAAACTGAGAGTCTTGGCCTCAGCTTTGTGGAACTTTATCACAAGGTGTTTGCCATCATGTGTTGTACGGGTGAATAAATCCAGCTTAACCTCTTAGTTTCTCTACTTGACACCCAATATTAACCTGGTTTGGTAAAGGAAAGAAATTGAACTTGAGTGGGTGACTTCATAATTAAAGCAACTAGAAAAAAAATCCCTTCTGATATTTACATTTTCTCTTTGTGTATACTCAATTCTTGGCTTAATTGAATCACAAAAACTTTTTTAAAATTATTTTTTAAAGAAAGGTTGTTTTATGGAACACTGAGATTTAATTTACTTCCCTCTATTTGCCAAAAAAAATGTTTCCCCTCTTCAATCCAATGTATAAAATAGAAGAACATTTAGAGTCCTTTTAAATCCTGACTTGTCAGGAACACGTTTCAAAGTTGAACAGTAAAGGTTGAATAAAACATTTTAATTTTCTGGAACATCCCTGACTGGTTTGGCTCAGTGGATAGAGTGTTGGCCTGTGGATTTAAGGGTCCCAGGTTCGATTCCAGTCAAGGGCATGTACCTTGGTTGCAGGCACATCCCCAGTAGGGGGTGTGCAGGAGGCAGCTGATCGATGCTTCTCTCTCATCGATGTTTCTAACTCTCTTTCCCTCTCCCTTCCTCTCTGTAAAAAATCAATAAAATATATTTTAAAAAAAAATTTCTGGAACAAAGTTTATAATTTATTAAAGGAACTATTTTTATTACAAGTTTATTGTGGACTAGGCCCAGGTATTTTGTTTCTATGATACTTTCCACTTTCCTTACCATATGTTGGCCACAGAAATAAGGCTGAGTAAACAATCTTAATGACTCAATGGAATTGCCTTGCCCATCTTCCCACACTCACGACACCTCTAAGTGGAGTCATTGAAGATTAAATCATGTTTAAGGCACCTAGCACCTTGCTTGGTGCCTGGTAGGTGCTGAATACAGGACCCCAGGGGTGACTTATTTGGGTCCTTGATCAGACTGGGAAGGAAGGAACCCCTTTGCTTCTGGTGATTGTAATCTCGGCTTCTCTGTCCCACAGCTTCTGCTTTTCATTTCTGGACCAGGCTTTGTGCTGATTCACTTATCCAGATGTTTCCTGCTTCTTTGTGCAAGAAGCGTATAGCTCTGTCACAGCCGAGGGTGAACACCTAGGCACCCCGTCTCTTTCTGGAGGCTAGCTTCCCTAGATTCTCTCTCAGCCAGATTCTTCTTTTGGCCCATGTGGTCACATGTGAAATTCTTATATCAGAGCTCTTACCTACAAACTATCCACACATGAAAATGGTAGCGTTTACTAGTTTATTTTTGCCATCATTTCCCATACGGAGGAGGACTGTTGACTTGCTCATTTGAGTGGAGGGTAGCCCCTAGTCTATCTCTGAGTTCAGATCCATTAGATTCGTCAACACACCAAAGTGAGGGCCACACCATTACGTCACTGGTGGAAAAAAAATGGTTGGGGTATATTCATTTCCTGGAGCTGCCATGACAACATGCCACATATTGGGTGGCTTAAAACCACAGACATTTATTTTCTCACAGTGCTGGGAGTTAGAAATCCAGAATCAAGGTATTGCACAGCTATGTTCTCTCTGAAGGCTCTTCCTCCTTGCTCCTGTTTCTGACAATGCGTGGCATTCCTTGGCTTTCAGCAACATCACTCCAATTCCTGTCCCTGTCTTCACATGACTGTCTTCTATATGTGTGCGTCTCCTTGTCTCTATTTCTTCTTCTCATAAGGACACCAGCCTTTAGGTTAGGGTCGACCCTAATCCAGTATGACCAAATTTTAACTAATTACATCTGAGATCCTATTTTCAATACTGTCACATTCTGAGGTCCCAGGTGGACATGAGTTTTGGAGGAGATGCTATTCATTGCATTAACTCCCTCGTCATAGTGCTGGGCACTCAGCGTCATGCCCCCCCCCCACACACACACACACTCATTAAATGCCAATAAATGATTAAATACTTTCTAAGGGACCAATATCTGTGAGAGGTTGTGCACGTGGTCTCTGGCTTTGGGACCAACTACAGTCTGATTGGAAAGAAAGGATATACATGGTTGAAAAGATGGCCTGGTCATCCTTGGTTCCGCTCTGAGGAATCTCCTTGCCTGTTCCCCTTGGCAGTGGTGGCCTCCACACAGACAGGCATCCTGACTGTTTAATCCTGTCAGGGGCACGGTTCTGACAAAGTTTATGCAAGACGACCCGTCCGTTTCAGCCAGACTCACACCCAGCAGTCGGCCCCAGTGACTTCCCGTGATGATGGGCTCACTGGAAAAGTTGACTGAGAACCTCAGGTAGAGTCGGGACAGTGGCAGCGCCGAGCTCCCAGAGGTGGGACCTGGGCAACTGCAGGCTCCCCATCAGTTCTGGGGCCTTGGCCTGGAAGGGAGTTGGGGTTCTCACCTATGTGCTCTGCCTCTCCTCTCACCAGGCAGTGACTGGGTCTGTCCATGTCTTTTTTTCTTCCTCATAGTTTCCAGTGACTCATCTTCATGCTCCGCTTCCTTATCATTCATTCTACCACCTGCCCGCTGATAGAGCATCTCACAGCTGCAATCCCTGCTGCTCACTGCCTCCTCCTCAGGTCTCTTCAGCTGAGACAAGGATCAGGTTGACTGTCTGGCATCTTTTTCACATGAGGCCCCTGTGGTCAGGGGCTGGCACCTCACTGGCTTCACATCCTTTGATCAGTTGCCTCCCAACATGCAAACGGCTGTGGTTGCAGGTGGGGTGAGGAGGAAAGTGCAGAGGTGAATAAGGACAGAAGCATCGCTGTCCACGGCTGTTTCTTTGGCCATGGCCTTGGCAGACACCTTACTAACATGGCCCTGCCCTCAACAGGTCATTAGAGAGAGCACACCTGGGCTCATTCACACCCCCATTGTTCTGGCCTCTTTTAGAATTGCTTTTACAGCTGTGCCTATGAAGTGATGTTCCACCTTCCCCAGATGTGTCCTTAGAAAGCGCTTTACGTAAAATCCATTCATCCATCTATTCTGGGATGTGTTTGAGGGTGTGCTCAGCATTTGACTCAGTGACCCTGTATGAGGACTCACGGGAGAAATTTCTCTCATGTCTCATTAACAGGAATCCATGTGTTTCCTGAACAACTGGTTTGGGTATGTCTTGGGACATAATGATTCGTATAACTCGCTGTTCTTCCCTCTGTGCTGTCCGCTGGGAGGTCAGAGCTGAGTCTGCAGCAAGGGTACATGGCTTTATTGCGTGGGTTTTATGTATAACCTTTTCATCTTTTAAATTTTTTTTTTGCCCTAATTTCCTCAGTTATTTTCTGTCTGCAGGGGTGGGGGAAGTCCAGCCCACGGGCCATATAAGGCCTGAGAAATCATTTGGTCTGGCCCTGCCAAGGCATTAGGGCTGAGCTAATTAAATGTCTGACCAAAGATAGCCGGCTAGTTTTTTTTTTTCTTTTTTCTTTTTATTTTCAGCAGGCTAATTTTTAAGCTGATAATTTTGTATGGCCCGCGAATGATGTTATAAATATCCAACTGGCCCTTGGCAGAGAAAAGGCTCCCCACCCCTGCTTTCAGTTGTATTAAGCTTTCTCCTTTCAGAACAAATCTCATGATCCCAGGTTCTCATAGACATGAAGCAGATGGGGCACGTGGATTACCCGAGATCCACGATGCAGCAAAAAATGTTGTCTCTTCTGAGCACAATTCCCATGTTAGTCTCTTGCCCTTGTTAAGTAGCGTCGTGGCTCAGAAACAAAGACGAGGACATGGAATTCTGCCAGCTAAACTGAATTACAAGACAAAACGTCAGAGTCCCAGTATCTTTAGTTCCAGTATTTCCCATGTGCTGTCTGTGTGTTCCCTTGCGCGGCTGAACTATTTCCTGATGTAAGTGAGGGGTGTCGTCATGCTCAGTGAAGTCTACAAGTTTGCTTCACTAAATCAAATCAAGGTTTTGATTTAGTGGCAGGTTAGCCCGGGAGGCACTTCTAAGATCGTGGACCTTGAATAAGCACGATTTCTCCTTTGAAAACAGACCCCTCAGAGTTCTTTTCCTGGCAAGTCATTGAGCAGCTCCGCTTTGTGTGTGTCTGTGATCCTTAAAGGAGGACATCGGAGAACTGGGCAGGCTGCTGAGGCACGGCGCGTTCAGCGTCTGGACAGTGCACAAGGAGCGCTCCAAGGTGACGGGTTTCATTCGCTTTAAGCCCAGCCAGAGGCAGCTCTATCTGTTTGAAAGGGGAATCGTGTTCTGCAAGATACGGATGGAGCCCAGTGACCAGGGCCCAGCCCCTCATTACAGCTTTAAGAAGTCTATGAAGGTAAAGGGCTCCTGTCCCACCTGGGCGTCTGCACAGCCTATGGAGAGAAACACAGCGATCTGATGTTACAGACAGGAGACTGTAGCACAGAGAGGTGGGGCTCACTTGCCAAATGCTACACAACAGAGCGAGAATCCACACACCCTGTCTCCCTCCAGAGTCGGGGCTGCGAATCAGTCAGCAGACAGGGCAGAGCTGGAGTAGAGGGGATTTCGTGCTAAGTAGAGGGAAGGGGTCTATTTCCTCCGGGCACAGAAGTGAGAGACTTGGTGAGTAGAGCCTGTGTTACGGAAGAGATGATCTTTGCTTAAAGGTTGTGGCTACAGCTCTACTGATAGGAAGATATAGTCTGTTATCCTCTGAAACAGACGAGGCAAATGGCTCTGTGCCAGACTGTGTTTTATGCTCCTTGGAGCCGTTAAGAGAAGACAGCGAAACACTTGGAAGGAAGATGGAAGAAGAGAAACATCGGGGGTAGAAAGGATTAGGGTAGCTGACAGTGACCATTCTGAAATCAGAAAATGATGGTTTGGACATTTTTCTTCTTTCTTTGTAACAGTGGACGACACTTTCAATTCACCAACTTGAAAGGGGGAGCAACAGAAAGTTTGAACTTGTCGACCGAAATGGACTTGAGAAATACATCCTGCAGGTAAAGCTCTGGTCTTCCCCAGAGGGGCGCCCGTGGCTGGACAAGTGTTCTCTATCTCATTGTTCCTACGGTCCCCCAGAGGATGAACGCGCTGTGCAGTTCATCCTCCAGCTGATCTGATACGCACAGTGTTTTCTTATCTGTAATTGCAGGCAGCTTCCAAGGAAATCAGAGATTGTTGGTTTTCGGAAATAAGTAAATTATCGATGGAACAACAAAACAATAATAAAGGTAGGGTTACCCTGGCTGGCTTCAGTCTGGAGAGTTATACTGTGTCCAACCTGTGGCGGGTGTGCAGATTGGAGATAGTGTTAAAGAAAATGGTTTGCCAGGAAAATAACTGTGGCCACACTTTTCAGTACCTGGAAGGTAAAGGGCTTGCTTTAGATGGTATGCATTTTTTTGTGGTTGTGTGTGTGTGTGTGTGTGTGTGGCCCTTGTAGTTGTGTTCCCCCACATACGTAATTGCCAAGATTAACTTTCTCAACCCAATAGCTCAAAGCCACCCCAGAAAATTTTCATGGAAATTTAAATGGCCAATATGACTTTCAGAAGCTGTACTACTTTTTTTAAAAAAAATTGAAATATAATTAGTATTCAATTCACTCTCTTAAAGTGTACAAATCATTGGGGTTTAGTCTATTCATGAGGTTGTACAACCATTGCCGCGTGACAAATTCCAGAATATTGTCACCCCCCCCCCCCCCCCCCCGCCATAAAACCATGTACCATTAACACCCGTTTCCCATCTCCTCCCACCAGCCCCTGACAACCACTGATTTACCTCCTTTCTCTATGTACATTTTTATTCTGGACATTTTATGTAAATGGAATCATATAAAATGTGGCACCTTCTGTCCAGTTTCATTCAGCCTAATTTTCTCAGTGTCCATCCCTGTTGTAGCATGAATAAGTGCTTCACTTTTTTTCACAGGTGGATAATAGTGTATTGGATGGACATACCATATTTGTTTATCCATTCACCTGTTGACGGATAGTTGAGTTGTTTTCACTTTTTGGATATTGTGTGTAATGCTGCTATGGAAACTTGTGTACAAGGTTGTGTGTGATCCTATGTCATCAATTCCCTGGGGTATATATGCAGGGCCATATGGTAACTCTGTTAACTTTTGAGGAAGTTAAACAATTGCCTCCACTCATTTTCTATAAATGCCCCTGGGGAAAGGCTTTTTACACTGGCCAAGCTTTGAATCGGACCTAATAAAACAAATTTGCAATGAGGGTATTGCAAGGAACCCCCAGGCAAATGAATAATGATGGTTCTCTGGGATGAGACTTTGAAGGAGCTACCATCCTGTGCTGCCCCTCCGGTGACGTCCAGATTGCTAAACCTCATCATGATTGATAAACCTCATCATCCTGCTAAATCCCCTCATGATTGCTAAAGCTCAAGACAGATTGCAGGTCCTTGGTGTCCAAGGCTGTTACCAAGAGTTGGGGGCAGAATGGAACAGGGCAACTAAAATACCACGCAGCTCACCGTTCACGCTGAAATGCAGCCATTTCTCTTAAATCAATGCTGTCCGGAATGCTGCCAGCCTTTGTTTAATTCCCAGTGTCCTGAAAATACAGTTTCTGGCTTCTTTTGCCAGTTTTTTTCCATGCTTTCATGTGAAGTTTTTGGAAGAATATAATATTTTTTTGCACCATTTTCACCAATGTCACTTGCTGTAGTCCTTTTCATAATTAAAAGTCATCTTTGAGTGGGCTTCACCCTGTCACTTTTTATTTTTTCAATATACCCTCATTACAGCAGGGATATTTTGTAGAACAATCCACAAGTTCCATCAATTGAGTTTTAATATTCCCTTTAGGTAATGTTGCTGGGGTTAAGAAATGTGGATCTCATATGGAAAATCTATTTCCTATCATTTATACTGGCCATGTTGTTCTGCACTTGGTGAGGAAAATCATATAAATATGAAAAGATAAGCTTTGTCTCCGGAGATTTAGATTCAGATTTATAATGAAACCATTTCATATCCTTTCTGTGTCTGCTGTGATGGTCAAGTGGTCAGGAGGAAGCGAGGGTGAGTGTGCGTCATGTAGAAAAGATAGATTAAGAAGTGTGATTGGAAAACCACCACGTCGGTTTTCTTTCACAACCAAGTGACACAGTTCTTGATTTAAACTGTAGGCCTCTGCCAGGAAATAGTAACAAGAGTACATAATTGATTTTAATTTATATAAGTACTAGAGGCTCAGTGCACGAAAATTCATGCACTCGCGGGGCGGGGGGGGCCCTCATCCTGGCCTGCTCCCTCTCGCAGTCTGGGACCCCTTGGAGAATGTCCACCTGCCAGCTTAGGCCCGCTCCCCAGGGGATCAGGGCCTATTTGGCAGTCAGACATCCCTCTGGCAGCCCAGGAGCCCTCAGGGGATGTCTGACTAACGGCGTAGGCCCGCACTCCCCCCATTAGTTGGACATCCTTAGCACAGCCACGGAGGCAGGAGAGGCTCCCGCCACCACCACTGCACTGGCCAGCCATGAGCAGGCTGATGGCTGAGTGGCACTCCCCTTGTAGAAGCGCACTGACCACCAGGGGGTAGCTCCTGCATTGAGCATCTGCCCCCTGGTGGTCAGTGCACATCATAGTGACTGGTCGTTCCCAGGTGTTCTGCCATTAGGGTCAATTTGCATCGTACCCTTTTATTATCCTATTTCATAAAAGAGTAATATGCAAATTAACCATCACTCTGTCACAAAGATGGTGGTGGCACAGAGCTTGAGTGAGCAGGAAGCTTGAGTTGCCCTGGCAATGGAGGAAGCCAAGCTTCCCGCCTGCCCTGCCAGCCCTGAGCTCTGCTCAAGGCTACAAAGTTTCAATTATAGAAGGTAAATAAATCCCAGATACCTGCTTCCAGCGGGCGTGGCTTCTGCTCAAGGAGGAGCTGGGAGCCTGACCAAGGCAACAAAGTTTCAATTATAGAAGATAAATAAATCCCAGCAGATACCTACTTCCAGCCTGTGGCGTGGCCAGCCTGAAATCAGCCATCAGCTCCTCACCCAGGCTGGCCAGGCACCTCAGTGGGACCCCCCCCTCCACCACCCTGAAGGGGCTGTGGCCAGCCTGAAAACGGCCAGTTTCAATTATAGAAGATAAATAAATCCCAGCAGATACCTACTTCCAGCCTGTGGCGTGGCCAGCCTGAAATCAGCCATCAGCTCCTCACCCAGGCTGGCCAGGCACCTCAGTGGGACCCCCCCCTCCACCACCCTGAAGGGGCTGTGGCCAGCCTGCAAACAGTCATCAGCTCCTCACCCAGGCTGGCCACACCCTCATGGGGTGAGGGTCCCCACTGGGGGGCTTGACCAGCCTGAAAACAGCCCTCAGCCCCTCACCCAGGCTGGCCAGGCACCCTAGCGGGACCCCCACCCTGATCCGGGACACCCTTCACCAGCCAACCCCCACCTGTGTACCAGGCCTCTATCCTATATAATAAAAGATGAGAAAGATCGGCTGCCTCCTGCACACCCCCTACTGGGGATTGAGCCCACAACCCAGGCATGTGCCCTGACCAGGAATTGAAACTGTGACCTCCTGATTCATAGGTTGATGCTCAACCACTGAGCACCACTGGCCGAACTCATGCTTCTTTTTATTACCTTTCTCCTACCCCTTTCTCACCTCTCACTGCTTTTCAGGTGAGCACTGATTTTTCTGTCACTATAGATTAGTTTGAATTTTCTAGAATTCCATAAAGAGAATCATATAGCATGTGCTTTATTGGGAAGGTTTCTTTCACTCAGCATACTTATTTTGAGATTCATTCATGCTGTTTAGTGTAACAATAGTACATTACTGTGTAGCATACCCTTATTTGGATATACCCCTATTTTCTTTATCCATTTACCTGTTAATGAACATTTGGTCTGTTTCCACTGTGGGGAGCTATTTTGAATAACGCTGTTATGAACATTCAAGTACAAATCTTTTGTGAACATATGTTTTCATTTCTCTCAGGTAAAATGCTTAGGCCATGTGGCAGGTGCATGTTTAACTTTCTAAGAAATTGCTAAACTATTTCCTTATATTGTCACAGCAGTGTATGGGAGTTTCACTTGCTCCCCACATCCTCACCAGCACTTGGTATTGTCGGTCTTTTTAAGCTTTCTAATAGATGTGTAGTGGTTTGTCATTGGAGTTTTAATTTGCTTTTTCCTGGTGGCTAATGGCTGAGCATCTTTCTGTGTGCTTCTTTGCCATCCAAATATCTCCTTTGGTGAAGAGTCTGTTTGAATCTTTGCTCATTATTTTCTTATTATTGAGTTTTGAGAGGATTTTTTTTATTTCTTAGACACAAGTCCTTAGTAGATATTTGTTTTGCAAATATTATTTTTTCAGTGTGTGGCTTATCTTTTTGTTCTCTTAGGCGTGCCTTTTGAAGAACAAAAAATTTAATTTTGATGAAATCCAGTTTTAAAAAATGTGTGGATCATACTTTTGATGTTGTGCCTAAGAAATCTTTGTCTAGTGGTCACAAAGATTTTCTCCTATGTTTTCTCTTAGAAGTTTTATAGTTTAAGATTTACATTTAAGTCTCTGATCCATTTTGAGGTTTTGTTGTGTTGTTGGTGTATGGTGTGAAGTGTGGATTAAAGTTCAGTTTTTGCTTATTTAAGGCCAGTTGTTCCATAACCATTTCTCCAATTGGCTTTGTATAAGTGCACCTATTTCTGGATGCTCTGTTTGGTTCCATGGATCTACTTGTCTATCTTGACAGCAATACCTTGGTTACTATCTTGATTGGCTGTAGCTTTCTAATAAGTCTTCAAATCAGATCATTGGCGTTTTTAAAGGAAAATCAATATATATAATTGATTTCAGAGAGGAAGGGAGAGGGAGAGAGAGATAGAAACATTTGGGCTCAGGTGGAAAAAGTGAGCACTTAATGGGTACATAGTTTATTCCTTACTTCAGCAGCAGAACCAGGTCTTCTGAGCCTGGCTCACCGAGCAGGGTTGGTTGCAATGTTACTGTGAGTCAGCCAACAGCGAGAGCTCTAGGAATTCGCAGGGGCCCTTGCACCCTGCGTGTGAGCAGGAGCGGGGCCTTGGGCTGGTCCCTGAGAAAAGACAAGACAAGACTCCAGGGGCAGAACACAGACTCGGGGGCATCAGGGAACAGGAGAGGGGGGTTGGAAGGTTCTAAGATTAGGAATACCAGGACTGTATGTCTATCCAGCACTTTACGAAGCCCTGACACATA